TTAGTGCCTATGACTATTGCTAACTCTGGCTACTTCTCTGCACACTTGACTTTCTCTCTTACTGAGAACACATGTCTCTTTCACTCCCTTTTCTTAATATCTCTTCTGTGTCTCCCCCTCCTCATATAATTCAAAATGACTGGGGTCAGATACCAAAGATTGGGATAATTAGACACTGGGTGGGTCAGGAGTTAGAGGGAGTATTTGGTGAGAATGGCTAATAGAAGACAGATTGAGAGTTATGCCAGGCATTATTAATTGATAGCACAGATAGCTGTTCTACAGTTTGTTGTCCTTGTCTTATTTGATATTTTCACCAAAGTATGGATAAGGGAAAATAAGGGAGAATGTTTTATAGTAATAAAAAAATCCCATCCAAATAGAAAATGCAACATATATAAATCTTTATGTACCAAATGACATAGAAGCAACATGCATAGGCAGAAACTTTTAGAAAAACAAAGAAAATCTGATGAAAACAAGACTTTGGAAGACTTTAACAAACATCTCAGATTTGACACATTAGCCAGGCAAAACACTCAGGATATAAAGAATTTAAAACCATCAAAACAGTAAGCTTAAGAAATGAATATAGAATTGCATGCCTTACAAATAGAATTTGTATTTTTCTGACAGAATTTATTAAAAAATTGATTAATTGTTTCTAGCTACAGAAGAAAAGTCAATAGATTTCAAAGTGTAAATACCTTACCAGAATATTCTCTGACTATGAAACTAGAAACCAATAGTTTGTACATTTAAAAAAACACTCTTCTAAATAATTCTTGAATAAATTAAATTATAAAAACCATACATTACTTAGTGTACATTCTGAGTGTAAGCCAAATTTGCAATATCAAAACTGGGGAGGCCATTGAGCACACTGGATGGCCAGTTGGGATCCACTTATATAATGACAAGCTGTAAAAATGGACAGACACTAGTGAACATGAAATCTAGCAGAAATGCATTTGAGACCATCCTCCATGTCCAGAAAGCTAACAGCAGGAGCACACGTGGAGGAGATATGATGCAGCATCACCATCTGTAAAACAAAAACAGTCACATGGGTGTAAGATTTAGAGGTTTTAGTTGACAAATTGGTTAAGCATTCATCAGCTTTGACATGCTACCAAGAAAAGTCAATTTGATTTTAGGCTGCATGGGTAGATAATGTGCCATCTAGAACAAGAGAGACAATTGCCAGCTCTAATCAGACTCATGCACTGGGCATTCAGTGTGGGTTCCATGGCTCAGCAAAGATGATTAGAGCCCATTCAGAGAAGAGCGAAGGCAATGATATAGAGACTTAAAAAAAAAAAAAAGAATCTGAGACACAGTTGGAGGAAGTAGTAAGTTTAGCCTGAACCCAAGGCAGCTCCTTGAAGTCTTGATGCTATTCTCAAACATATGAAGCACTGTTATGCAGAAGAGGGGTAAGGTCATGAGAAGGCAGATTTCTATGATCCAGAATATTCCAAAGATGAAAGGAGTGCATGAAGAGATAGCAAGTTCCATATTGCTGGAGGTGTTCTTACCAAATTGGGTGAACACTTGATTGTGGCAAGGATTTTAACACTGGAAAAGAGAGGTGGTTGGACCTTGCAAAACTCCCAACCCTGAAATTATTCAATTCCCCTAGAATATGGTATTCCCTCAATATGGCCCCTGAACTTCTGAGTCTGGTACCCCAAATTGCTAATTAAGCAGAGTCCAACATTAACATTTTTCACACATGAAGGTTTGAGAGTACATGACTGATAGAGATAGTCTGAACCCAAGTGAAACCTGAAGAATTTGGGAATACTGAAAATTAAACATCTGGTAATCAAATGAAGACACTCAACAGGAGTTCAAACAAGGGTTTGGCGAGGGTCAGAAGGATGGGAGCAATCCTCCTGGAGAAGACTACAAAGTCTGTGCTGGTATGCATTAGGCAACATGAGTGGTTTTAGAAATTGTGGTACAGAGATTATCTATGATATATATAAATAAGCAAACATGATGGTTCTCTCTCCTTTGATGGCAGGATGTGGCGTGCCTGGTTGGAACACTGCATGCCAGGTGTGCAGATCCTTTCAGAGTGTCTCTAACCACTGCTGCTTTCACAGCCCCTGCAGAGCTCCCTGCTGACACAGGCTTGCGCTCTGCAGTTCCAGCTCACACGCAACTTGCGTCTCTAATGCATTGCTCTGACAAGAGCTTTTATTGACCGAGCTTTTTCTTCATTTTCTGATTGCCCCTGAGCCTTTCCAAACTCAGCAACCCTGTTATTCTTGAAACTAAGACCTTCTTCCTCTCAGAGAGCACTGTTCCCTTGCCCTCCTCAGCTCATGATAATAATCACAAGAATAAATAACCCTGTAAGTTTATTTAGGACGCGGTGTTTCTGACCACTGCACATCCACTTTACTGTTTATCCTGACAATGTCAGGAGGAATGCAGGGCAGGTGCTACCTTCGATGGCAAGAGGTCAGAGCACTAGCCCAAGGTCACGTGGAGGAAATGAGCCAGTTCTAAAATCAGAGATTAGGATCCAGGACTTGTGACTGACCCCTGAGTTGGCTCAGTGACGCAATTGGTGGGAGTAGCACCTTCGTGTTCCATGTTCCTGGGACTGACATGTTCTAACTCAGGCTTGTCATGATGTCATTTAAGCCTGCAGAGTTTCCCAGGAGACTGGTATTTCCAAAGGCTTGGTTCCACATTTGAGTCTGGCTGAGCCCAGGATCACCAATGCCCACATAGAATCCCAGGGTTCCTTGGCTGTAGAGAGGCTTTTTGAGCAAGGGCTGGCAGTAGACACCATTTAGAGACTCTATCTGCTTTCCCTCCATTTGTTTATAATGGTTTGTAAAATAATTTAATTCATGACAAGCAAACTGGCATGTGAACGTGAAGATCAGAGAGAGTGTCAATTTAATCAAGTGAACCTTCAAGCAAAATTAATAGAAGACTTTTAATGATATCATAGAATTAATGTCCTGCATGGTTATTAGGCATAAATGGTAAACAGTTTACATGAATGTCTGTAATTAGCATTGCTTTAGCAGAGCCAAATCAATTTTTAAGTTGCTCTCATCTCACCTTATTAGTTCTCCAATATTTATATAGTTGAAATCACTAGCTAAAATTTTCCTTAATACCCTTTGCTACCTAGCATCTGAATTTCTTCAAACATGGAAGATAGTTCCAGGGACCAAAAGAAAACCATCTTGCTTTTCAAAAGTTTCTTCCAACTGTATCTGTTTCTGACTCTAAAATGTGTATATTCAATAGATTGGCTTTTTCTTCTTATTTTCCCTCCAGGATTTCCTTTTTAATTGTCATGGGTTAGCTGAAGCAAATATAACAATCTTGAACACCTGTCATTTATCAAGAAGAGGTGTCTTACTCTTAGCCAAAAGATACTTGTTACATCAAGGATAACAAACACATTCATAAAGACAGGGTCTCAGTTCATGGAGGTCTTGGAGGACGTCCATCTTTGCTGAGCATACCCAAAGGCCATTGAGGTACAACTTCTGAATGTTAAGTCTAGTTTTGAGGGTACAGCCAAGAATGGCTACTCAGAGGTTGGTGCTCTATTTTGAATGAACTTGACTATAGAGACTCACACCAAGTTTTCTGAAGAGCTGGAAGAATGCCAGTCAAAATGGCACCATGTTCATTTCTGAGTCTGAGCATGTGGTGCAAATGTACCCCCTACTGGCAATAAGAGAAGAAGGGGCAGAATTGGTCTGTGATAAAGCCTAGAACACAGGGAAGGTCTAGCTCTGGATTAAAGTCCCAGGGTGGACAGCCATCATTTTTTGTTCAGAAATCTTCCCAGTACTTCTTAGAACTGGGAACTAGGGCCATTTTCTCAATTATTGAAATCTCTTGGATTGGGGCAGAGTGGGCTTGCCATCATTAGCATTTATAATGGCAGATGACAAACTTTGGGATGTGTCTGTGCATGTGTGTTACACATTCAAAATAGGCCTTAAGAGCTATGACGTCAGCCTGTTCATGGAACCAGGAGTTCTCTTGATTGGAGGGGAGAGGTCAGGGAGTAGAGGCCCAAGAGAGGTGTATTCACTTCCTTGTCAGAGAAAAGGTATAAAAATGTAAGTACTTGGATTTTTTGATGCTTCTTATTATAACTTCTAGTTTCAGGCCAAATGGTGATGTTGGGTCCTTCCTGTTTTAATTTGTAAGAGCATTAGAAGGAGAGCCTATTGTTAGGAGAGAAAGGAGAACCAAAAAAAATCATTCCTGAGGAAGACCTGCAAACCTCATCCCCACAGCTTTGTCTTTTTCTGTAGAAGCAGAGTTCCCAGGCGCTCACTTTCTGTCCTGGGGGCTCTTCAGAGCAGGGAGAGGATGGCAAGAGTGAAAGTAGGCACGAGGACATGGCATTATCATCACCAGCCTTTAATCCATTATCATACAAGAATTATGGATCTCACAAACTTACACACACAATTTCAGGGAGAGTCTTCTGACAGAGCAGTGTCAGATAGTGCTGATGTAGACAGGTAGAGAAATCATCCAAACTGGAAATGAGGTAAACCAAGACACTGAACAGGAGAGAAGCCCACACAATGTAACTTCATACTGTCCCCAAGTACAGGGATCAGCAGAAGGAGCAATGGTGAGTTTGGCAAAGGCTGGGGCCTTGAAATAAAGCAGAATACAGGGAAGATTGGTCCAAGGAAGCTTCACTGAGAAGCATCTGGATCAGCTGAGAGTGGTGCCTGGGAGATGCAAGGAGGAGAGGTCCCATGACATCTACCAGCAGTCAGAGTAGGTCCAGCTGGGCCTTGGTGGTCTGCATACCTTTTAGGTCAGCTGATCCCAAGGGACTGATCCTGCAGCCATGGCTGACCTGATCTGTCAGTCACCCCCACCACCCACAGCTCCAGAAGGAGCTAGTGTCTGAGCTCTTGGAATTATCACTGTGGGATAGGGGATCTCGGAGCAGACCCCATCATACTCTCCTTTTGCTACCTCTGTAGGAAAATCGCTGCTTATGATGAAGAGATCCAGCATCTCTATGAGGAGATGGAACAACAAATCAAAAGCGAGAGGGAGCAGTTTCTCCTGAAAGTGAGTGTCCACTCCCTGGGCTTAGCCAAGTTGACATATTCACCACCCCTGAATGTAAGATTGCAATACTCCTGTTGGTAATGCTACTTTCTCTGTTTTATTTTTCCCCGAGGCATTTGTCACCTTTGAACATGACATATAATGTAGTTGTTTATTTTTATTGATTGTTGTCTATCTCCCTCACATGTAAACTCCACAAAGCAGGAATCTTTTATCTTTTACTTACTAATGTCTCCTCATTTCTTAGGTGATGCTTAGAACATAGTAGGTACTCAACAAATATTTGTTGAGTCAATGAATGAATGGGCTGGTGGATGGATGGATGGATGGGTGAAGGGATGGATGACAGGGCAAACTTTAGCAGCTGAAGTAGCCTGGAGATTGGGTTTGACATTGACTGGCCCCAAACCTGTGTAGCAGACTCACTCAAATACACCAGTCCATTTTACTCCATGCGCCAACAGGACAACCTTTGGAAATTAGACTGCTCATTCTTTTCCCTTAGACACCTAGAAAATGTAATAGTCAAGGAAAAAACCTCAGATACCATGGGCGAAAATGTGAAGCTCACATCCCTTGTTCCTAGTCTGACACATACTTGGATCTTACCAAGTCCTGCTGTTTATCTTGGGAGGTCAAGACTGGTGAAGCTTTCCCTTACCAAGCTCAGCAAGGTCTTTTTGGAATATGTTCATTAAAAAAAAAGAAAAGAAAAGCTGAGGGCTGGGGATGCAGCTCAGTGCTAGAGTGCTTGCCTAGCATGCACAAGGCCCTGGGTTTGATCCACCGCACTGAAAAAGAAAAGAAAAAGAAAAGCTGTGGAATAACAGCCTCCACTGCTTCTCAGCACTGAGCCTGGGCTGTTGTCCCAACCCCTTCCCTTGGACCAATTTCTAATTTTATGCTGCTTCAAATTATCCACACCATTACTCCACTTATTATCACAGATGTCATTCAAACTGAGAGAAATTGGAATGCTTTTCAGAAAAATCCAGCCATGTTCTCCAACCGTAGCCCCTGGAGGCTTGTCAATGTGTTGGACCACCCTGATTTTCTTTTAGAGCTTGGAAACCTCTGCCTGTCCCCGGTTGTTGAATGTGCGTAAGCACTGCTCACACCCTTTCATCAGCAAATCTAAAATAGTCTCTGCAACAGCAACTTCCCCTAGCCCCTGTGATAGAAGAGCCAACTCTTCATCCCAAATGACATGAGATATAGAGGGGACAAGCTCTGCAGGCATTTTGCCCCCTCTACCTGGTCCATGCCTACAGGCTGAACGCATATTTCAGAAGCTAATGGTGGGCCTTGGCGAGGAGGTTGGGAGTGGACAGAGGTCAGAGGAAAAATTCAGGAACAAATTAGGACCATTTAGGATCTGGCTTATGATACCATGCCCCTTAGCTGTCCCCTTCTCTCTTCTTGAATCCGAATACCCAGAAACCTCAATTCCCATGAACATGGGAACTCTTATGATGTCTTTGGTAGTGCTATTAAGCATTTAGATACATGAACTTCTGCCAGGCCATAGAGTGAGGATAGTGATATCACAGTTTATGACATTGTGGACAACCCTTAACCAGGTTTGGATCCTGGCTCTACACTTTCCATTGGGTTTAGTCAGAATGAAAGTTAGTTTTTGATCACTTGTACCTCCAACTCCAGACTGAGAGTAGCTTGAGCATTTTTGTTTTTACTCCGTGAGCAGAGAAACGATGATCCAGAAGAATGATGCAATTTAATCGGGAGATTCAAGGGCTAAAGCCAAGTCTCCTGAGGTCCCACTCAGGGCCCTTCCACTAGACCTGGCTCTGTTGAGAGTGTCAGGCATCCCCACACACTTTCCTCTCTATCCCATAGCCAGCTCCCTTTACACCTGAATCATTAGGGCCTCAGCATCTCTGAGTGGGGAAGTCCAATCTAAGGCTGGAGGGGAGGGGGTTGCTGAGCTCAGAGGCAGAGATATCACAAGCAGCAGGGCCTGGGAGACTCACTCACAATGGAAAATAGTGAGGACTCAGACTCTCAAGAAGAAGTGTTTAGAGAGTGAGGATAAGGTTAAGTGACCCAATGGCAGTGCCCCATGTGGAAAAGAATCTCCAAATTGGAAGGGATTTTTGAGACCATCTACCTCCCCCGCCTTCTACCCACAATTTACAGATGAGGAAAGAGAGACCCAAGATTTCAGTGAGGACCCTATTCTTCCTGTCCAGTATTCCACCACTAATTGACACTGGGTCAATTTGGGGGGGGGGGTAGAGGAAAAGTGGTGGTGCATGGGTGTGGGACATGGTCACACTTGGTGATACTTCACATAGCGCATCACTGAGCTCTTGTGCTTTCTCTGTCTCATGATTCCTTACTGATAGGGCAGGCAGGTCACCAAAGCCCTGGAATGTGGTAGAAGGGCCTCAAAGTACAAAGGGGCGGGTGGCCTGTCCTGCTGAAGAGTAGTTTCAAGTAGAAGGACAAGTCTACAACCCAGGTGCACTGTGTGCCCCGTGCATCCCCTCTACCTTATTTGGCAGGACACGGAGAGGTTCCAGGCCCGCAGTCAGGAGCTGGAAAAGAAGCTAATTGCTAAGGAGCAGGAGCTGGAGAGACTCAACCAGAAGCAGAAAAGGGTATGTTTTGCCAGTGTCCTCAGAGTATCAGGATCTTTCTTCCACCCTTGTCTCTGGCTCTAGCTTGCTTTCCCTGCCATTCACTTATAAACTTTTAAATTTAATCCAAGAAGAACCATATGAATGTACAAGGTAGCATTAAAAGTCCCAGGGAAAGCCTTGCTGATCCCAGGTAAAGCCTTTACTTCTCCAATGCCAGGTGTTTAATTTGAAAATATCACTAAGAATTCCAAGAGGAAACTACAGACATTTTCATGTAGTCATGCCCAGGGGCCATGAGAATGCCAAAACTTGAACTTATTTGGAAAAGGGCTTCAGACAATTTGCTCCCCTCCAAGATGCCTATGGACATCTCTGGCTTGAAAAGGCTCTTCAAAGTTTAGTGTGTCCCTTCTCTGCCTGCCCACACATCTGGGCAAAGTTCTTTAGGCTCCATAGCCCCCATCACCCTGCAGGATGGATGCAGGCACAGACACTCCTCTCTGACTGCCTGACCCTCCAGGAGGCAGACTAGATGGTGTGCTATTCAGGACAGTGTCATTGTGGCTGGGGACACCTGGCTCACAGCCCCAGGAAGACTGATTGCTTAGGAGAGCCTCAGGCTCAGTGGCCTGCTTTCCAAAGTAAGGGCTTATGGGGGAGAGAGGCTAGGATGCCTCTGGCCTCCTGTCCATTTTGCCTGGTTCTGGAAGGAATCCAGCCCTGGAAAGACCCAGACAATTTGCTTCCCTGCAAATAGAGAGAGCTATTTTTAGCGATACATTAAAATAAGCTTAAAGCCACCCCTGCTAAGGCTGGGGACTGTGGCTGCTGCCCAGCTTTGAACTTGGGTTTCGTTCTTTCTGCAGCCAGGTGATGTTCACTCCAGGAACTGCTAGTCCCCTTGCCAGTCCCCGTCCACAGCAGCACCTTGCTTCTCCTACTCTTCTGCCTCCCCCACCACAACACATTACATCTTAGCAATTAGATTTATTCCTCAAATGAATGATTGCCACTCAATTTAATTACTGCATGCTTGCCTGATTACACAGGAGCCTTTTCAGTGTTGCACAAAATTCCTTGTTGTTGCTTCCTCCTCCCTTTACTGGCCACATTCATTAAAGGGGATTTATTGATATATTCGCCTTGGTTGGCCGATTCCTCTGGTGAGAGGGTTGGAAGTCCTGCAAAGCATCATTCCTAGCTGAGCGAAGCCAAAGTTATCAAAATACAGGGTTTTTATTTGCTTTAGGGACGTGAGAAAATGTGGGATCTATGTGACCAGTTTTAGTTATTCCCTAAGAGTTTCCTGGGTTTCTGGAAAGATTTTTTTTGACAGAGATTAAAGGAACTGAACTTATTTAGCTGAGAGATAACAATGGAATAAACAGATTTACTCTCAGCGTTCATAATTGGGAAGGATGGTTTTATGAAGAGCGCCACTTAACTCTGTCAAGACCAAGGAAAAGAAATTAGCTTAGAGGACAAAGGGATTTAGGTTAGATCTCAAGACTATTCTGACTTTGGGATGAGAGACACAGATGGATTATGGAATTTCCTTTGCTAGTGGTCCTTTTGAACGGAGCAGTCCACGCCCCTTGCTGGCATGTTTAGTGGTCCTATGAAGACAGGGGAGAGAAGAGATGTGCTCCAAAAGCTCCTTTCTCAGTGCAGGAGTGCCTGTGTGTCAGTGAACAGCAGAAAATGCTGATTTAGGCTGGGGACCAAGGAGTGGGGGCAGTGATGGTCCCTGTCTGCCCACCCAGGAAAGCAAGGAGAGGCCTGGGCAGGTGGCTTGCTGATGATGGTGGCTTGTCACTTCCCTCTGCTTGAACGTTCCTTTCCAGCTGGAAGGCCAGTGCACAGCCCTGCATAACGACAAGCACGAGACCACGGCTGAGAATACCAAGCTAAAGCTTACTAACCAGGAGCTGGCACGGGAGCTGGAGCGGACGGCCCGGGAGCTCCAGGATGCTCAGCAGCAGCTGGAAATCCTCCAGCAAGAGGCCTGTAAACTGCAGCAGGAGAAGGAGCTGTAAGTACCATTTTGTACCCTCCTGCTGTTCTCCCACCCCCTTGACTGCACGTTATCTCCCCTCTTAGAGACTCCATATCCTTGAGCTCTTTCTTCCCTGATTCTTCTCCTAACACCCTTCTAGAATTCAGAGACTGTGAAGCAGTCTGTGCCACGCATAACCTGGGATCCACAAGAAACAGGTAGCCCTCATCTCAGTAAACTGATTACGTGGCTAGAAAGACATGCTATTCCACCCATAAATGTGCAGCATTCTATTCAGATGTCAAAGGAATTGACAGACTTCTGAAGTCAGCAGGCAATTTGATAGGTGTGTGGCAAGTCTCTGAACCGGTCACTGTAGTTCTGCCCATTTTCTCCTAGCAGTGTTCTTCTGTGAGCCCAGTGGGCCCAGTGCAGGGAAGCCCACATCTCTCAGGTCTTGATTTGCCTGTGGACTCCTTTTGGTCTCTGACCATTGGCTCAGTTGGCTAAGCAAAGGCACACCTGAGTGGGAACCAAGGGATGGATCTTATATTAAGCTAAAGGGATTGCTACAAAATCAGTTCTTTATCTTGTCTTAGGCATGTTAGGTGTTCCAAAAAAAAAAATGTATTTTGAGACCAGGGCAGAGATATCTCACTTGTTTATTTGCCTGCTCATTTATCAACACATTCATTGACTTTTTCATTTGACAGACATTTATTGCAAACTGTTCCATGCTAGGTATCACACAGAACCATTAACATACTCATTTATATTAATAATTTGACATCATCTCATTTGATCTTATAGCATCCTGATGTGGCTGGTACTATTATAAATTCTGATTTACAGATGAGGAAACCAAGGATCAGAGGTTTTCAGTATCAGCCTCAGGATGCTGAGTGTTAGACACACCCTGCTGACACCCCCAGAAAACAATGAGCCAGCCAGAAAATCTTTACACAGGAGTGGGACTGGCCATCATTCACTTACTTACGCCTGCATTCATTCTGCAAAAAGTCATTGTGTGTCTGGTCCTGAATGGTGCCAGTGAACACTGAAAGTCTTATTCCAGAGAAAAGTCCAGTAGTGTTTACTAGTGCCTAATGCTTTGCGTATGTTTACACCCCCTATTAAGTGAAAGCCCTCACTCTATTTGTCTGACCACTGCAAGATTCCGGTGCATAGGCCTAAATCAAATGTGCCTAAATCAATTTTGTTCAACTGTGGAATCCTGTACCATTTGGATAAGGATGCAAGGAAGGAAATGTGTTTGGACTGGAAATTTTACCCTAGTAAGAGATCTCCAATTTGAACAAATAGAACACTCCCAAGTAGTTGACTTAAAACAAAGCTAAGCCAGGTTGGTAATCCTATCGCCTAGGGAGGCTGAGGCAGGAGGATCTCAAGTTCAAGGACAGCCTCAGCAACTTAACAAGGTCCTAAGCAACTTAGGGAGACACTGTTTCAAAATAAAAAATAAAAAGGGCTGGGGATGCACCCCTGCTTTCAATCCCCAGTATAAAGAAAGTATAAACAAAACCACAGCCAAGTCCTTCCCTTCCAACTCTTGGATGGCCAGTTGAGGAAGGGACCATGTATTTCATTATAAACAAGCAAAATCAGTTCCTCCTCATTGAGAGCAGGTCAACAAGGCATAGGCATTTAACTTTACAAACAGAATTAAGGATTCAGGCTCTTAAAATTCAATCAAGTTCTCAAAGCAACCAGCATCTGAGGGCACAACAAGCATTAGAACAGCAAATGGAAATCAACACCCAGAGCTGCAGAGTTGCAGCTCAGCTCAGCGGGAGATCCAGAGCCTCCTGAAGTGTTATCTTAATTAACCAAGCCAGGCACAATCCCTGGAGGTCCAGAATTGAAAAGAGAGAGGGGAAGAGGGTAAGAAGGAAGAGAGATAAAAGATCCCACAACCTTCACAACTCCTTTTTCAAGAAATATTCTTGTTCAGCTAAAAGCTTTGCTGGGGCCCAGAGAGCAAGTCCCACCCAGGGAGCCCCAGGGAGAAGAGCAGGGAGAGCCCCAGCTTGTTCTCTGTAGAATGGAATTGCAGACCAGCACCACTGACAGGACCTCAGCGCTCGAACCCACCACCTTCGCTTTATGCAGGAAGAAGTTGAGGCTCAGAGAGGGTAGTGGCCACCCGGATTCCACCCAAAGCTAGCTACTGCCAGAAACCAAGGACAGAGCCTAGTTCTTCTGATGTTCCTGTGTCCCCCTGACAAAGTCTTGCTTCCTGATGCTGCTCCAGAGCAGCTGGGAGGGGAGAGGGTAGGGTTCAAGGTAAACAGACTTAGACACTTATCAGCAAGAATTCTGTACAAGCAAAATTAATTTTCCTGTTCTCCGAAGATGCTCAAGGTAGGAGAACTAGATTTTAAAATGAGATTCAGGAAAGAACTCTCAAGCTGAGAGATAATATAAAGATGAAGGTCAGCTGATAAGCACTTCTCTGTTTATTTTTTAATTAACTTTTATCTTGAGTGGGTAGTTTATGACAAGCTCAAAAGCATAAACACCCAAAGAGGTGTACACTGCCCATCCCCAGGACTAGGGTCTCCTGTCACCCAGAGGCCACCAGACATGGTGGGTCCTCTAGTGGGTCCTTCCAGAGTATGCTCCATTTGTGTAAACATGTGCATGTACACACACACACACACACACACTCACACATGTGTGTGTTTTTCTTTAGGAGATGGTAGCATACCAGGCATTCTGTGCTGCTTAATCTTGCATTTCTCACTTGACAATGTATTTTGTAAAGTGTTCCATATCTCTTCTCTTTCCTAAAAACCAAGCCAACAGCAGTTCCCTAAAGGGACCCATAAACCTCCTGCCAATGACTACAACAAAAAACAGCAGGTTCTTTCTCTTTCAGTTTGCGTATTACCAAGGACTAGAATTTGTGAACCTCTAGCTTAGAGGTTAAGAATCAGTGAGCCAAATATCCACATGTGATTTTCTTCCCAGAGCCTTTCTTTTTATGTCAACACACAAAAAGTATCTGAATATGTGTGTGGGGGTGCATGCACTTTTATCTAAATAGACACGTGTGCACTGGACAAGGAGATAACACATATATTTGCACAAGTCTTTCCATCCAAATTCTTGGATGGCTGGTTGTGGAAGGACCATGCATTTCACTATAAACAAGCAAAATCATGTATGTCCTTCACATGTTTGTGCATCTCCATCCATCCACTGGTGCTGTAGACAGGGCTGGAGAAGGTCCAGAATGCATTGTGATTTAGGAATTGGCTTCTCAAACACTCAGTGAGAACCCAGGCCTTGGATCTCCAGTGGGTGATTTTTCCTCAGTAGGGGAAAAGCTGTCTGCTGTAGCTATCCCTGGAGAGAGTCAGGAGCCAGGGCTGGGGTGGGAGAACCATAGAGACAGGCACAGGCAATTGGCAGCTCCCAGGGCACAGAGGGAGGAACAGGCAGATGGGCACACTTCGTGCTAATCAGAGCAAAGTCCTAAACCAGAGTTCGGGGACCCGATTTGGATAATGAGAAATGCATTGTTTTCCCTTAAGTTGAAATTAAATATAGTTGGTAATAAAATGTGAGGAATTTGTGGCTCTGTAGGAGCCAGAGAAGTTTTACTGCTTAATTAGGATTGTCTGAGGTGAACTTGGAATTTGATTCAGTCTGTTATTGTCATAGAGTGACTTCATAATTATTCCATAAAGGAGAAAAAGAGAGAGAGAGAGAACATGATTCCTCTTAAGGAATCCGATTACCGGGTGCTTGGCAGGACAGTCCTGTGGACCCAGTCCTGTCACCCTCAGTAATGACATCAATAGGATGGCAGAGGGGTGACTGCCCTCTCAGCCCAGTGAACACAGGCCAGGCTGCCTGGACTGCTTGCCAAAAGTGACCCCTTCATCAGGTTGTAGGAGGCTCCTATGCTAACAACTGTTCTGTGCCCTGGGAGTGTGCACTCCAGGCCTTTGTGGTTAAATTGGAGAATGATTTGAAAATTTCTAAACCGTGGTTCAAAGTACAGCAGCATTGTGAAGCAAGTTTCCCAAGGTCAACCAATTCTGCTTTATATTTTTCTTTCTCTTTCCTTTGTGAGTGATGCTGAAGACCTCCCAATTCCTTCCTTCCCTCTTTCCCTCCTCCCTTCCTCTCTTCTACCTTCCCTCCCTCCCACCCACCCTCCTTCCTTCTCCTCTTCCTCCTGCTTTCCCCTCCTTACTTCTCCCCTCCCCCTCACCTCATTTCTTCTTCCTGCTTCAATTTGTGAACCAGGTCTCCAGGCCAGGCCCTGGGTTAAGCTTGTAGGGCATGGCCTCTGTCTCCCAGTCTGGGTTGTCCTGTGTATCAGCCTCTCCTCTCTCTCTCCACCTTTCTTGAGAGTCCTGATATGACTGATAAGCTCACACTGTGATATAAATGAGTGATTGCAATTGATATATTCAATCTTTCTATTATAGCCAGAGACTGAAAAACCCTGTCAAAGAAATGAATGCCCATCAGTGGAAAAATTCCAGAGATCTAGGAACATATTAGGGATTTGAGGGGGAAGGTGGAAGAGGGGAAAGATTTCTTCTAGAGGCCCCCCAAACAAACAAAATCAGCATCTAGTAGGGTGTGTGGGATCATGCAAATTTTGCTCTCACTATCCAAAGTCAGGCTGGAGAAGATTAATTCCCTAGAGTCTAGAGAGGACAGGATGGTTTGAAGCTTGGAACAGTGGAACAGGCACGTGACCTGGAATGAGCAGGTTGGGGGCAGAGGTCTAGATGTAGCTGTCCATGTGACCTGGGAGAGTCATCAGGCTTCTCTGACTGTCCCTGTCTGTTAAACAAGGATGTTCTCATGTTCAGATACAATGTCTGGAGGAGCAGCTGAGCTGAGGCCATAAGCACCTGCACGTTGTACATGCTCTCCAAGGGAATGTGCTCTCCAAGGGAAGGTCATGTTTCTCCATCTGCTCTGTCCCGAGTGCAGGCTGTGCCTGCTGGTTTCCAGCATGAGGGTTCCCTCCCTCTAACTTCAGCACAGTGCCTCAGATCCTGTCATCCCCTTCCCTCCCCTGTTGGCCACTACTCATCATGTTGACCATGCTGTGTCTGCCTCCTCCTCAGGGAAGTGTACCGGGTGACAGAGAGTCTACAGCGGGAGAAGTCTGGACTTCTGAAGCAGCTGGATTTCCTCAGGTGCATGTGGGGCACATCTCAGAAGCCCCAGGTCAGAGGGCCATTCTGAAAGTTCTTCACTGCCTACATGCTGAGAGACTGACTGCTCATGCCCTTGGTCTCCAATGTATGGTTTATAACTGAGTACTACACTCTGTGATGGGTCCTTTTGCACACTTTCCCATCTCCTGTACATTTTGCTCTTCTTTGTGGATAAGCACTGTCTCATTGTTGGGGTCCCTCATTGTATTGTGCATAGTACTTGCTCAAGTAGGATTGGAACTGGATTTATTGAGCAACTACTTTATGCCAGATACATTATCTCTTTCATCTTCAACAAAGCTGTTAGGTAAGTAGGGCAGTTGTTAACCCAGTGCTTCACTGATAAAGAAGTTGATGTTAGAGAAATGAAATAATTTATCATAAGAGACATAGCTTCTCACTGATGAGCCAGAATTGAAATCCATGTCTGGATGGTTCTTTTTGCTCAGTTGTATTCAGCTTCTGTTTGTGGACTGAGTAAATGAACACAAACAGCACCAAGAAAAGAGTTTCCTGAGCTTTCTAAAAAAAAAAATAACATTCAAATCTGGAATGTGCAAAGAAGAAGAAAAGGAGGAGGAAGAAGAAGAGGAAGAAGAAAGAGAAAGAAAGAAATGAAGGGAGGGAGGACAGAGGGAGGGAGCAAGGGAGTGGGGGAGGATAACAAGAAAAACTCATGTGGGGTAAGATGGAATTTTCAGTTTTGCCTCTGAGGTTTCTATGTCACTGTACCTGCTACCTGCTGGTCCCCTCTTGGGCACAGTGATTAATCAGAAGGGCTCTGGGTCCTGATTTTTAAAGAATATGTGCTTTGTGAATCACTGCCCAGATATGTTTTGGTGTTTGGGGTTTTGGCTTTGTGACAACAAGGCTAGGTCCCCGAGTCTGGTATCGATGATGGAGCCAGATGGAAAGGACCCTCCACCTAGTTCAGACACTCTCCACTCAAAGCCTGAAATAAGCCGGCATCTACAGGCAGGGAGATGGAGGGGACTCTTAGGTGGCCAGGTTCTCACCCATTTAGAGGAGATCTTATTCTTAGGCAGGCTTTCATGAAAGGAAGAGAACCAGATGTACAAGGACAGGTTTTTTATTTCTTTTTCTATTGCATAGAAAAAAAATTAATGAAAGAGCAGTGCTCTATAAATGCAGAGCAGAACTTTTTCCTATTACAGTGAAATCACCAGGAATCCAGGGGAGAGATAATGCCTGGGGTGGGGAGGGGAGGGCAGTGGGAATGTGGGGGTAGGCCTGGCCATGGGATCTGAACCATGGCTGCAACATGGCATGTGAGGAGGACTACCGGCCTAACAAGAATGGGAGCAAACAGATGCAAGTTCAGGGCAGTGGCCTGGGAGCAGGCACCTTGGAGTTGGATCTGGTTACAGACACTGCCCCTCATGGTCTTGTGTAACCTTGGGTAGATGACTTAAGCAGCTGGAGCCTTAACTTTCTCCTGCCTAGCTCATGGGTGACTGAAGAATTAGATGCTACGTGTGAATGAGAATCCCGACAGGGCAATGGTGTGGATGAAAGCAGATACATATAAAGAATGCAGTGTTTCTTTAAATACTGAAACTTCTGCATGGAGATGGCTACACAAGGCAGGAAACAGCACAGCTTAAGGTGTGGCATCTCAGGTCCTCACGTCTCTATGCAGGAACAAGCCTGCTTACCTGCTGCCTGCACAGAGCAAAGGTCCTTCTGGCATGAGCATTTCACTTGGCCATTCCCAGAGTTTCCAAAATACCCTCCACGTCCCTGCCCCTGACTTGTCCCAAACATCTTGGCTGTACCCACTCATCTGCAGGTAACTGAAAACAACCCTGGCATATTCTTAATGTTTTCTGCAAGACTAGGGAAATTGGAGGTCAGGTGTCCTGGCTGCCATTCCTGGGGCCTGCCTGAAGTCTGTTCCTACAGTTTATAGCGTGCTCAGCAGAATGCCTTGCCCACAGTAATACCCAATAAATGGCTGCATTAGGGACCTGACCATAACCGTGCCTGCCCTTCTCCTTCAAAAATGTGCATTGGTTCAGAGGCCACTGGTCCAGTGAGTCACAGAATCACAGAACTGCAAGGCCAAGGCACTTTGAAGTCACCTGTTCACCCTCCCGACCACTTGCATTAAGAGATAAAATTGCCAACATTAACCTCAAGTGCATCCTTCAGTCACACTACATCCAGAGTCTACTCACCATCACCCCCACTCCTCTTTCATCAAGCCTCCAGCTCCCCTTTTCACCCTCATGATTAGGCTCCTGGTTCAGAGACAGCCAGAACCATTACACAAGAAAGATCTTGCTCCTATGCTGATCTGTGCCCATGTCTCTGCCTTCTTCGCTGTTGTGGTGGGTGAGCCCCTTGTTCTCCTATCAGAGACCACCCCACCCTACCCCTGTCCCCAGCCTGTGTTCTAGAATCGATCCTACCTCCTCTCACCTCCTCAAGGACTATTTGTTCTCGTTCTCTTCCATTGTCAGGTCTTTCTCTTTGGGGAAGAGACCTACAAATATACTCTAACATTTTGTACTTAATTAACATCTTTTGTCTTCACTTCCCCATCCAGGTACTTTCCATTTCTTCCAACCCTTTATAACTTTCAAAAAAGTCATTTTCCTTTACTGTCTGCATCCTTTTCTTCACATTCTTAACCCTCCACCGTCTTGCTATTGTTCCATTGAAATGGTTCTTATCCTCACTAAAATATTACTCTGCTCTCAGGGTCCCTCCCTTGTTAAAGCTGTAATCAGACTGTGATGCCCTCTTAGTACTCAAAGTTCTTACAGTGATCCACATGCCACTGTTCATGGGCAGTGCCAGCTCACCCCACAACACACACATTTTTCTCTGACCTCATCTTTTAACTTCTCTCCCTTTGAGCACTCTATGCTATCCTGTTTCTCACACACACCAGCCACATTTCAACTCCAGGTTTTGCCTTGCTGTGCTCTTCCTGGAATGTTCTCCCCAGGTACCTGCCTAGCTCCTCTCCTCCCCTTCAAGTCTCTGCTCAGAGGCTGCCTTACCATCAAGGCCTTTTCTGACCACTCTAGTTAAAATAGCATGCCACTCTCCTCTTTCCACTTGCCCCCTGTATCTTCTCAATAGCAGTTATCCCCTGAGATAGGAACGTGGTGTTTTATTCACCAAGGTGAGCATCATACTCATGTATGTGTCCTTGATAACTAGAACAGGGCCTGAAAAATAGTGGATGCTCAGGAGACATTTGAAGAATGAATGAATGGTTCAGAAAGGGGAGGCCCATAACAAGCCCAGAGGGGGAGGCAACCCCTAGTAATGGGGACCTGGCATGAGCCTGAAGAACAGTGGGGCAAAAAGCCATTTGTTTCGTTCATTTCCTCTGAGCTAATTTACATACAAACTCTCCTGTCTTCAGCCACTTTCTTAAGGAAAGACAATGCAGGCTCCCAGGGCCCTCTATAACAGGTCTTCACACTTCTTTACTGTTCAGCACACAGCTGAACAGTAAATTGGCTACTATTGGGTTGGTCAACTTCAAACTCCATATTTGAATACCTTTCCCCTTACTATCTACAGGGAAAGGAACAAACACCTTCGGGATGAACAGGATATAAGCTTTCAGGTAATTGGCTGATGCCCCTGGCAGGTGGGAACAGCAGGAAACAAGGGTGGTGGTCCAGAGGCAACCAGATCGATGCCTGGACTGACCCAAGGTCATCTAGACATTTGGGATGAGTTTTATGTTTTGGATGTGGGCAGGTCTATGGCCTAAGATGTTTTGCCAATAATAAAAATGTAAGGTAGACTACTGGGTAAGAGTATGTGAATTTTCCATGAAGTAATACACCCTCCTCTTGGCACAACAACAATTTGGGTGGGCTACATATTTCTTGAATGCAGAAATGATAGTTCCTTCCATGAAATGGCACAGTTGAAATGTCACTATCACTTTTAAATCAAAATGTTTAGTTTCTTGCTTTCCTTTAAATTTTGCATTTTTACACTGCCATAGAATAAATTCAAAATGCATATATTGCTATTTACATAGTCCATTTTATGTGCCATTTTGCTACTCTGTAGGGGACCCCTCCTCTTCCATATTTGAGCATCATACTCATGTATGTTATTTCCAAATAACATAAAATCCTATATTTATGTAGAGGTCTTCACTGTAGGTCACATGAAACAAAATCTAATATTTCATGCTCCCCTGCTCATCATTCCCTTTAGAAGTTGCCATTGAATTCTCTAAGGGAAGAAAAGTGGAGCAAGATTGATTGACATGTCCTCCTAATTACAGGATTATCATAGTACAAATCATGTGTGTGTTCTTGAGAAAGTCATTAACTATCTTGGACCATGACCTACTGTCACATGAGGAAAGAGAATCCCTATCCTTTTGTCTTCCCATGTTCTAGAAGTTTTCAAGAAAAGTTCTTGGAAAGAGAATAATGGGTACTGGACCTTTGACTAAATAGTAACCTAATTATGGTCAGCCTAAGGCAGCTAGATTGCCCTGAACTGGTCCCAACCTGGTTTTTACTGCCAGTCCCTAAGGAACTTTGTAATACCATCATTTCTTTGATATTCCCAACCGGCAGCAAACGTCTGTGCCGCCCACCTGTGTGTACTATCAGAGCAAGGCTTAAGCCTACACATGTTTGCTTGATGATGATAATGGTTATAATTGTTTTAGAACTAACACTGATTTTTTTTTCAAACTTTCAAACAAATGTCATCGTAATCCCTTGACCTGGCTTCCCTTTACCTGCCAAACTCATTCTGCTTTGAAAAGCCGGTAGAATGAAGAACTCCAGTGGGTGATTGAAGGAAGAGGGATAAAATCCTGTCGATGTGAATAGTAATTAAAGATTCATTGGCATCATTAAAGCCAGACCTTCAGGGGCCCTGGGAGCTCGCAGCACCTCTTCCCCTCATTAAGGATCATTGGGAATCATGGGATGACTGATTAATGAGAGGTTCTTCCTGTGATCTAACACCCCCCACCCCAACCAACCCATCTCCTGGAAGACATCTGTTTGGGAGCCTTGGCAAAGGGGATCATAAGCCTCCACTTCACTCAGGTTCTCTGTTACAGATGTTTGAGCAGTTTACACCCAACCTGCTAATACAAGAGATCTGAAAAGTTTTACACTAGCATAGGAGTCATGAACAGCATGATGGACTGGGTTAATTGACCCTCTAGGCTAGTCCCTTTCTCATCATATTGGGGGATTTGGAAAAAAGAGGGATTAGAGTGTGATTTAAAATGCACAGAAATGTGTGGGGAGTGCAGCTCAGTGGTAGGTAGAGCACTTGCCTAGCCATGTGTGAGGTCCTAGTTCTACTCCCAGCACTGAAAAAAGAAGGAGGAGGAGGAGGAGGAGGAGGAGGAGAAGAAGAAGAAGAAGAAAATAAATCAAATAATAAAATGCACAGAAGTCTTTTTATACTTTAAAATAATTTTTTTCTTATGCATTCAACATTTCTCTTCTTTGTCCTCTTGCAAATTATAATGCTTATGTGTAGAATAACATGGTAGACCCTAGGCTCAAAATTATTTGTTCATTTTTTTAGGACTATTGGAAAGGAGATGGAGGAATTTTGGTGGGGGAGGTTGGAAAAGTGGAGAGGGAGAGAATGGTAACAGGGAGTCCAGGACACTACTTGCTTACTCCAGTCTTGTCTGGAGTCAGACCTAGGAGGTGGGAATGGTGTGCCATTTTCTATTCAGAAAATGGGGCAAATCCACAGGCATGGATCTCAGGGCCTTTTGTGTTTCTACAGAAAGAAAAGGCAGCCAAGGCTGACAAGGCTGCGCCCAAGGCAAGCAGGAAGCAGAGATCTGGCTCTGTGATCGGCAAATATATGGACAGCAGAGGGATTCTCAGAAGGTAAGTCGCCATTCATTCATCTCCTGCTCTTTGGGAGCCAGTTCTGGGCCTACGCTCAGTGCAGATTGGCTCCTGGTGTTATGATCCTGATAGGGAGGCCTGAGGTCAGCTGCATGCACTCTCCTCGATTCTTTGAGGGCACAACACTTCCTCTTGTCACATCCATGCAGAGCAAACCCCTAGGACAGGGCATTGTCTTCTTGCTACCCCACCCTAGTGTGTGCCTGTGGAGGATTGAAGGGTGCTACAGACAAACAGAATGAGGAGGGGAGAGGTATTCGAGGAAGAGAGCGATGGAGGGCAGTGCTGTTGTCTGTTGAGCAGAATGGACACACATAGTTTTTCAGGAATATGACTGTGTTGTCTGTAAAAGTTCACATGGAGTCTCCATTGGTTGAACTTTTTTTTTTCTACTTTGTTTTTTAGTTATATCTGACAGCAGTTATCTATTTGGATACATTCTAGTTGAACTCATAGAGAAAAGATTGGGGCTTTGACAGAACATTTCAGGGATTCATATTTAACTAACTCAAAGATAACATGTTTTGTTGCTGTTGGAAAGCACATGATTGAGTTTGAGTACCCAAAGAGTTGGCCTATTACTCAAACCAGTCCCCTGCCCCCTCCTCTTTTTGGCATGTGCTGTAAAAACATAGATGGCCACAAAAAGGTAGAAGCACACCTAGATGGCCACAGAGATGCAGGGGGAGTGAGACCCTTCAGGATCAGATCCAGGAAGAAAGTCTATAAACTTGCTCATGTAGAAGACCCTGAAGATTGCAAGCACAAAATAAAAAGATACGCAAAGGCAAAGTGACTTTGGGAATGTAAATCAGCTAATCAGTAAAATCTGTGAGTTTGATTCTCATGAATTCCTTCTCTAAATAGCTGAATAATAAGATACAATTTGGGAACGAAATTTATGTAATAGTAGTTGCCCTGTTGGTCCCTCAGTACTGAAAGAATTCATTGATTGACTGATTCTGCAGGCCTTATTGATTATGTACTCTATACCAGACCAGACATTCATTTGAATTTTTTAAAGGCTCCAAAGAAATTATATGTGGATCCCATCATTAATATCCATTATTAAATGCTGATTTAGTGAATATTTTTGATTGCCTACTATGTGTATGTTATTGTGCCATGAACTGGATATGCAGTGGTAAGAAAAATAAACCCATCTCTGTTCAATGAACTTTGAGCTGAGTAGAGGAAAGAGACAATAATCCAATAAGCAACAAATTGTGAACTCTAAATTCCAATACAGACCCAGGCAGAAGTAGCTGCTCTCTCTACTGCTGGCAGAGAGCATTTGGTGGCAAAACCAAAAATGAACTTTATCACGCTAAGCTGAAGTTTTATAGAATGTCAAGAGGACTTAAGAATTTCCCAAATAAAAAGCTTTTTCCAAGAAATATTACATTTTAGGGCCTAAGTGGCTATTTCTTTTCTGATTGTAAGGCCTCTGAAAAAACTTGCACATTTGCTCACACATGCACACAAATATTCACACTGTGTGTAAATAAGCAGATGAAAATGGACAGGAATTCTAATTTGTTCTGCATCATACAACCAGTTAACAGGCTTGAGAGCATATATAGGAAGCATGCTGGAAAGAAGCCAGTTGGCTTTTACTTAAAAATATGATTTTATAAGGAAAAGTAAAGGTGTTTGAATTGCTACAGATCTCTTATTTTTCTATCAAGAATCCAAACTAGTTCATCACTGTTGTGAGCAAGCACTGGATATTAATTTATCTTTCAGAATGCATTTTGGTGACATGTGCATTTTGGTTTTCTTTTCCTTCCCACTGTTTGTTCTTAGGAATAATAAATATGATAAGCTAGGGGGCAAAGTAAAGATGTTTCTCTATTCTGTATATCCTGTGTCTTTCACTTGCTTTCCTTCTTTGGCTATGTCACCTCATTACTTTATCCCTATTCCATTCTGTTTTCTAGTTCATGTGTGTGTATGTGCGTGTGTATGTGCGTGTGTGTGTGTGTGTGAGAGAGAGAGAGACAGAGAGAGAGAGAGAGATTGCCTGACAAATTTCCATCCCTTCTAAGACGATTCTCAGCTTTACTTGTTCACACAGACCTAAAGGAACTCCCATGCTCAGGAGGATCTGTGAGACTTTTGCTCTCAAAACCTTACAAAGGGCTGGTGTGTAGCCCAGGGTAGAGCACTTACCTAGCATGTGCAAGGCCCCAGATCCAATCCTGAATACTGCAAAACAAATGAACAAACAAACAAAAATACTACTGAAAATATTCTGCCTTACAATGAAAGTGCATTTACTCTACATTCCAGGTGCCCAGTACCCCCACTTCCTGCTGCTCCTCCTCACCATTAATGTTCAAATGCTTCTAGAAGCAAGTATGCACTTAGGTACACTTACTCCTGGCTCTGATTTCTAGGGACACAGAAATAGAAACGGAGAGAGGAAGGAAAGAGATGGACATGCCTTCTGACCCAGGGCCCCTTCTCAAGGGGCAGCTGCCTCTGAGCTGGTGGACACCTGCTGTGTGGGGTGGGGGTCTTCTCCAAACAACTGTACCCTCACCGAGCTGAGGAGGCTGTGTGAACCTACCTGTTTTCTGTCATCGTCTCATCTGTGAGGCAAGGGTGGGGCCGAAGTGGGGGGGGGGCCGGAGGAGTGGAAGTGCCTTACCTGATGGCACACAGATAATAACAGCTGGTGCTGGAGCAGAACCTGGCAGCTGATTGTCAATCTGGGTGCTTTATTCTGAGTCTGGCGCGCCTTTCTTCACTACCTTCTCCTTCACAGGCCTCTCCCCACTTATGAAAATGTGTTTATTTGTGTCATTTTTGCTTTGGTCTCCCTCTGACCCAGCACTCCATGAAGATGGGGCCTGTGTCTGCCCCGTCCTGCCTAGGTCTTAGCACCTGGGCACACTCTCCCCATCCACAGCCTCAGGCCCTGCGTGGGAGTGTGTGGAAGGTACGAGCTGAAGAATGATGGCTCTGTTGTCTTCCTTTCCTTTCTGGAGTTCTCTTCTCCAAAGCAAGGGTGCTCTTCAGCTATCACGGAGGTCATCAGGCCGCCCTCGGCCTCGGTATTGACAGGCTTTCTGACATTCTCCCACGTGTCTTTCTCCCCAATCCCAACAGCCAGTCAGAGGAGGAGGAAGATGTGTTTAGCCTGCAGAGAAGGAAGAGCTCCCTGGGCCTGAGTGGATATCCTCTTACAGAAGAAGACTCAGGGACTGGGGAGACAGGGACTGGGGGTCCACCCTGCAGGGCCCTCCGCAGAATCATCTCCATTGAGGAAGATCCCCTGCCCCAGCTCCTGGGTAGTGGCTTTGAGCAGCCACTGAGCAAATGTCCAGAGGAGGAGGAAGCCTCTGAACAGGCAGGAGGAAGACAAATCCGGCAGTCCACGCCTTTGGAACTCACCCCCACATCTCCCAGAGGACAACCTGTTGGCAAAGAAGCCCTCTATAAGGTAAGGACACGGCACGACTCAATTTGTAGACCTCACTCCTATGATCTGTCCCTGGCCTTTGAGCCCAGGAGCCCTGTGGGGCTCTCAGAAGGTCACTTGTAGTAGGTCCTGTGATTCACCACATTTGTGTCTTACAAATGCCACCTTCCCCTGCTTAGTTGAATGTCATGGGGAGAGACCCAGGGGTCCTGACACATTTCCTTTATAACTGCTATTTGCCTCATTCTCCATCCTTTTCCTTCTCTTCTGATTCAGATCTGAAACATTTATTGAGCACCTACTTAAGCTACACCTTCTGCTGGACTCTTAGCATACAACATCAGATACTTGCAAATAGAAAAAGTAAATTAAGCAATAACAATAATCCCATCAGATATGTTCAAAGTTGCACAGTTTGTAACTGCTCTTGAGTTACAATCCCTGCATTAGAATTATGGTGGTACACACCTCCTGAGGCAGGAGGATCGCAAATTCAAAACTAGCCTCAGCAATTTAGCAAGGCCCTAAACAACTTAGTGAGACCCTGTCTGTAAATAAAAATTTTTAAAGAGCTGAGGAAGTGGCTCAGTGGTTAAGTACCCCCTGAGTTCAAAACCTGAGTTCAAAAAAGTGTGCATGCCATAATTTTTCTCTTGGTTCTTAGGTTTTTAATCAGCTAATCACCGTTTATTCTCAAATGTCTGGCCTGCGCATCCCTTCAGTGTGCTCCCACCCACCTCCCATTCCCCACCAGGTTGCCTGCTAAATTCCACAGGGAGAAAGGAGACCATGTGAAAAGTCTTCTTCTGGCTCGTGGTAATGATATCCTTCTCCTCCTTTGTGACCTAAACCTCAAAATAAACTGCTCAGGTCCTCATTCTTTGCTTGACCCTCTGAAACAGCTTCAGAAATGTCATAGCAATGTGCAAGAGGCCGTTACCACTGAACTTCTTGACACTGGTGGCCATTTGGGGTCTGGGGTGCATGCCTACATCTCACCCCTTTGAAGATCTTATTACAAGGAAAAAGTGGGCAGCTGGGTAGCACCCACTGGTGGAGCCCCTTCCTCCAACATGCCCGTCCACATCTCCGTGCATGCTCAGACCTGCATGTGCTTTTCAGTGGGCACAGTGATGTTTTCAGTGCCTCTGGGTATCCTCCCAAAAGGTGAAGTGTCAAGAGGTCGGTAGGAGACTGGAGTAAAGAAAAAAGCTACACTTGCAAATCTGCTGAGGCATTATCTGATGCGGCCTATCAGAAATGCTTCGGCCCCCTTAACAGATGGGAAAGTAGGAGCCCTAAGGGCTGAGGCCCCGCCCCGCCCCTCTGCTGGGCTCTTAGCAGAAGGGAGGGTGCACTTTTAACAGTCACATTCTCATGTCTGTACTCTCCTTGTGAGTCCATGTTGCCATTTTGCTGGGAATAGAAACTGCAATGGAGAGGAAACATAATTTGCTAGAAGCCACGTGACTGTGTCAAAGAGGGGCTGCTCTTTGGAAGGCTGATGTGAGGCAGGCTCTGCTATACAGGACTGGGGAGGCATAAAATGGTACCTAATAGAAATGAAGAGTTTAAAAAATATATCTTTAGAACCAGCACTTCTAGCAATTTTTTTTCAAAGGAAATAACCAAAATTGGGTAAAGATTTAAGTCAAGAATGTGTTATTCAAAATAACACATGGTAGTCAGGATTATACCCAGCAACTCAGGAGGCTGAAGCAGGAGGATCACAAGTTCAAGGCCAGCCTCAACAACTTGGTGAGGCCCTAAGCAACTTAGTGAGGCCCTGTCTCAAAATTTTAAAAAGTGAGGATGTAGCTCAGTGGTAAAGCACCCCTGGGTTCAATTCTCAGTACCAAATAAATAAATAAATAAATAAAATAGCATATGGCTGAAAAATCACCCAACCATCAATTATACTATATTAATTTAATGGAATAGTATACAGTTGTTAAAAATCACATTTTTAAAAAAAGCAACTCGAAGAAATACATATAATTTAATAATTATGACAAAAAAATGAAATTAGAGACAGGTGCAGTGCCACATGCCTGTAATGCCATCAGCTTTGGAAGCTGAGACATAAGGATCACAAGTTCAAAGCCAGCCTTGGCAACTTAGCAAGAACCTGTCTCAAATTTTAAAAGGGCTGGGGATGAGGCTTAGTGGTTAGGTGGTTCAGTACCCCTGGATTCAATCCCTGGTACATATATATATATATATATATATATATATATATATATATATATGACTATGACAAAAGAAGATACAACTATATATCATTCGTGTGAGTATGTATACTTATATTTTACGTAAAAATATCTCGAATCTCCTTAAATAGAGTAGCTGATGAAGGATTATTTTTTCCTTCCTACTTTTCTGTATTTCCTAATTAAAAAAATTAGTACATATTACTTTCATTTTGGGGAGTTCTTTTTTAAAAAGGCATATATGAGGGAAGATGAGCGCACCTCCCACTCCCAGCCGAGGTTTCCTTTGTCTCAGACTGCAGCCCAGTTCACTGTTACCAGCAGGTGGATTGTCCCTCAGGGGGGACAGCAGGCCCAGTGCCTGAATGTGAGCAGTGGGTCACTGCTCTTCTGAGGTAAGCCCTGCCTGAAGCTGAACCATCTTTGTGTTTGTTTGTGGGCCTGCAAAAGAAAGTCCTCTTCCCAGGGGAAAGGGGTAGTAACCACAGAGTTAAGGGTCAGGCAGTGCCTTGGCCACCAGGACAGCCTCCTCCTTCCTGTGCTCCCCATTCTCCACCTTGTGTCTGTGCCTGGGGGTAAACAGATGGGTGTACTACATTTTAATCTCAAACAAATGATAATTAAGGCACAGGGACAAGATGCTGGCAGAGAACCAGTGCCCTTGTGCTTTGCATGAATAAATAAAGTGGGGCAGGGAGCATTATTTTTGAGTGTGGGTTGTTGTTGTTTCTTTTAACTTTCAGTTTACATTCCTGTAGTTGACCTTGAGTTTCTTCCTAAGTACTGTATGAAATAGATTTCTCCCCCAAAGGTTGTTAGTGGTTTTTCTCTAAAACTCAAGTGCTGCTAATATCCGCTGCTGCTCCTCCATTATAGTATTTGCTCAATGAGAGCAGCTAACTTCCCCCAAATCCACTTTTAAATAGATTCCAAAGAGCTCCTCCTTTGGCCAGGCAGGGCTGAGCTGGGCTGCAGGCAAGGCTCAGGAGAGCAAGCTGTGCTTTGGAAGGAAGAACCGACCGCTCAGCAGAAGGGAACCCGTGCAGGAAAGCCACCCACTCTTTATACCACCTCCTACGCACTTGGTGTCCAAGAGCAAATCTGTCCCATTTCTGTCTTTTAATGTCTCAGATTGATAGGCAGGTTAGTTCCCAGCTCTGTCCCTCTGTGGGTCAGGGAGAAGCAGCACTGTTACTGGCTGCTTCTGGGAACATCATGGGACTTCCCAACTTACTGACTGGAGGCCTTCATTACTGGAGGAAGATGTCACACAGAAGACACAAGAGCCAGGTGCAGGGAGGCAAGAGTATCCTCCTTCCATCCAGACTTTCAAGGGCAGGGCAAATGCGGATATCTCTGTACCCTGACTAAAGAATAGGCCTTCTTCTCTCCATCTCTCTTTCCCCCTGCAAACGCCCCAGTGTGTTCTTCCCCACATAGAGGCTTCCTGGCTCCTCCTCAGGCCCTGCTCTCTGAACCCTTGGCTCCTCCGCTATGCTCTCAGAACTCTTGGAGCATTGTGCTTTAATAGTTTGCCTCCATGCCTGCCTCTTCCTCTGCACCTCAACCAGGGCCTGCCTCCTCCTGGGTCACAGCAGGTGGGCTTCCCTTGGTTGGTGGCTATTTCTCTTCCCCTCTACTGATGCTAGAAGGAGCTTCCATGCCACACCCGGGCCCTAACTGCATTCTGGGTCTGAAGTGGCGGCCCTGGTGCTATCTTCTGTGGAGCCCAGCAGAGACAGGTGAAGGGCGAGTCCTGGCAGCAACAGGGGCTAGTGGACGTGCCCAGGAGGTGACCAGACTGTCTGCCCTCAGCAGGAGGAAAGCTCTCCCTCTACCCCAGACCGGTTCTTCAAGATTGTGTTTGTGGGCAACTCAGCGGTGGGGAAGACATCTTTCCTCAGGCAGTTCTGTGAAGAACGGTTCTCCCCAGGCACGGCGGCCACTGTCGGTGAGTTCTGTCCCAGAGAGGGATTAGGAGCCCACAGGAGGGGCCATGGGACTGGCTGGTAGGGACACTAGTGTCTGCTGTTGGTTCGATGGTGGCCTAGAGGGGCTGGGACGTTACTGGCCACTGAGCTCATTCGCGTGTGATGGAAGCCCTGAATGCTCCATAAACTAGCCCTGGGTTTATGGGATGAAGGTGGGCAAAGATGGATTTGGGGCCCTTTTATTGTGTGAGCTCCCACCCACCTTGCACGGCTCCTTCCCCCTTGTCAGCAGGACCCAGAATCTTCATGCTCCCTCGGGACTGACCAGGGCTTCTCCAGGGACTCATGCCCTGCCACCACACCCCTCTGCCTTTGAAAAGGGACTGGTACTTCCTTGCCTTGCCTCTTCAAGTGCACACAAGTGTGTGTGTGTGTGTGTGTGTGTGTATACAGATGTGTCACAGTGTTCTGCTTACCAATTGAATTTTACCTGTCCTACATCCCAGTCCTGCTGGGTGACAGCTGGAATTAATTGTGGAAGCTCATTAGGCTTAGCATTAATGGATGATCATGGCTGGATGTATTCCCACTCTTGGATAATATTTTACTTAAATAGAGGCTATTAATTGCTTCACCCTAAGTTGCACATTGCATTGGAATACGTAGCAAGACCCAAGGGCATATTGACCTTTTAGCTTCCACCAAGTGGAATCACTCAACAAAAGATAAATACATTGAAGGGCTACCATGTACTATTTAACCCGATGGAGAAATCAACTGTACTTAATGTATTTAGATGATTTGAGTATTGACCAAGGACTGTTATGTTCATCATCTCAGTCTATCTTCCTAACACCCTTAGGACAGGTATTGTTATTAGCACAATAGTCAGATCAGGAGGCTGAGGCCCTGAGAGGTTAAGAGGCTTGTCCACACTTCTATCAGTTGGTTAATACTAATCCCTAATCCCCCCAACACACCTTCTATCCCATTCCACAAAGCCCCAAATAACATCGAGTTGTATGCACTGGTACTCTGTGGGTGATAGGGACCTTTCTCTGCCTTGGGAGCAAGGAGAGTTGGTGCAAGCAGGAGAGGCTGTGGAGGTTCAGTGAGACATCACAAGTCCTGTGTCCTCCTCCCAGCTCTGCCACTGACCAACTATGTAACCTTGAGAGGACATGATCCCTCTTTGGGCTTCAGTTTTCTGTCATCTGTAAGCTGAGTGATTATTTCCAGATGGTGAGGCAGGAATCAATGACTGTGGGGAGGACGCACCTCCTCTGGAGATCACTCCAGGCAGTGGGCCCAAGTCATGGCTCCAGCACAGATGGGAGGCAGGGGCATGGACATCCTCAGACCCTTAAAGGCCTGCTGCCACCCCTCCCAGCACTGTGTCTCTCGTGTCAACAAGATCAGGTTCCATTTACATTTTCAACCTATGGCCCTGAGATGGAAGGCCCTGAAAAAGAGAAAATCAGACTAATTTGCACTTCCCAAGAGACCAATTATGGAAACACATACAATTTAGGAAGTGGGAAAAAAATCAAAGTTTCCAAATCAGGAATGCCCTTCATCACCCTGCTCAAAACACATGGGGCTGCTGCTCATGTTGGTTTCCCTGCCATACAACATCCCTTTCCCTGTGCCAGTGTCTGTGAGCAGATGTCACACCAGCTACTTGAAGTGTTCCTTTAGGGAGATGTAGTAGTCACACATCCCCCTAAGGCCAAAGCAGTCCAACTCTAGAACAGGGCTCTGGACAGTCACCTGTCAAGGGCAGCAGCCACAGCTCCACCCAGTAACAAGGACCGGACTCTTCTTTCACACTCCATCCTCAGAGGGTCTCGTTGATTTCCTGGTCTCCCACACCCTCCTAAGAACATGGTGTACTGGACTCTTGGTTTGTGTGTAATGTGAGTTCTAAAATACGGCACGTGACTCAAGTTATCCTACCTACCCCACCTTAGGCGCCAGCCTATTCCTTCAAGAGCAGCTGCCGGGGCCTGTGAATGTCTTAGAGATATTAAATGATGGGTTTGTAGAATACTGGCGCTGGAACAAACCCTATAGGTGTTCTGTTCATATCCCGTCCTGTTGTATGGGAGAAAACTGAAGTCCACAATCAGGCCGAATATTAGAAACGAAAGCTCACTAGCACCCAAGACTCCAAGCTGGTTCTCGACCTGTTTGCTTTAAATCATAGTCCAGAGCCCAAGGTATTTCTCCTCGAAGCATTTCCTGATAGAATACCCTTTGTCCTATCTTGGCATCAGTCTGATTTCTATCCCACTCCACCTCCTTCCAGAGAAATCCCTGGAGCATCCCCACCTTGGGCTTTTCTCCATGAAAAGTTGGTGGCACTCCCTACTCCACATCTCTGCTACCCAGTGACAGTATGAGCCTGTCTTCTCCAGAAAGGTTACTGTCACCTTCTGGGGGATCCGTCTCTAATCCATACCACTTCTACAATGCACTTCCAGTGACAGCGGCTCCTGACTTCACCTGTCACGCAGGAACCAATCAGCTTGCAACTGAAGGTCACCTTAGTGTGGTCATTGACTGCTACAGCTGAACTTAAAGATCATGAATACCCAACTTAGCCCCCCACACACCCTCCATCTCACCTCAGTTAATAGAAGAAGAAAGTGAACCATCCCCAAATGAGGTAAAGTCATGTCACCATGGTCACACTGCTGGGCAATGGCAGGAACACAGAACACAGGTTCCTTGATACCTGGACCTTTGGAGCTGGTGGTGGTCTTAAAATCAGTTTGATCCAGGGCCTCTGACCCCATGCTCTTCTGTGCTGCCTCTTCTGTTGGACTCTTGTATTCTCCTGCCACAGGTGTGCATGTGCTGTGTCTCCATCCGCACCTCCTCTATTCTCCTTGTATCTCCTGACCATACGCCCAACCCCTGTGGGCTTGTCTGCTTCCTTGGCCTGCCTGTCTGAGGCTGCAGAGATGGGCATTGCATGTCCCGCAGGGAGTCTTCCCAAGCTCACCACACACAGAACACATTTTCCCAGCACCCCTTTGTCTGCCCCACTTCCTGTGACACAGAGCTCCCCATCTTCCAACAAAGTAACTAACCGGAAAGGTACAGCAGGTATGCTGAGGGCAGCTCCCACCTGCTGACCTCCTGTGTGTCTTGCCAGCAAGCAGAGGGCTGTCCTTTGGGGCTTTGGACCCATCAGCTGATTCATATCTGGCCCTGCAGGGGTGTGGGGGTATTGAGCATTGTGGACTTTCTCCTGAGTAGTTATCAGAAAGAGGGCAGCCCCTTCAGTCTCAGCATAGACCAGGGAAGCTCCTCTGCTTTCACCAAGAAGAAAACTCACCCTTGTCATCCTTTTGTTGTTGTTGTTGTTGTTCAGATTTTTTTTTTTGGGGGGGGGGTTGGTACTGGGGATTAAACCCAGGGGCACTCAACAACTCAGCCACATCCCCAGCCCTTTTTTATATTTTATTTAGAGACAGGGTCTCGCTAAATTGCTTAGGACGTCACTAAATTGCTGAGGCTAGCTTTGAACTTGTGATCCTCCTGCTCAGCCTCCCTAGCCGCTGGGAGTACAGGCATGTGCCACCATGCCTAGCTCTGTCCTGGTTTTTATTGGTGCATTATAATTACCAATAATAGTGAGATTCGTTGTTACATACTTGTACATGCAATGCAGTATAACAATGTATAAGGGTAAATTGTATCCCCCAGTGCCTCTCCTTTCCCTGCTCCCTCTCCCTGGTCCTCTTCCTCTATTCTTCTGGTCTCCCTTCTATTTCATGAGATACCAACAAAACACATACACACACACACACACACATACATACACACACCTTTGTTTGCCTTTATTCTCTCTAGCTTCCACATGAGTAAAAATCTACAAGTCTTGGCTTTCTAAGTTTCACTTATATTGTTTAACCTAATGATCTCAAGTTCTGTCCATTTTCTACAGTGACATGATTTCATTCTTCTGAATAAACTCCACTGTGTATAAATACCACATTTTCCTTATCCATTCATCCCTTGACAGACACCTAGGTTGGATCCATAATTTGGCTCTAGTGAATTGTGCTGCTATAAACATGGGTACACATACATTGCGACAGCATGCTGCCTTTAGCTCTTTAGGATAGGATAGTTCTTCAGTTCTGGGTCATATGGTGTTTCCATTCCTAGTTTTCTAAGAGGAACTTCCATACTGATTTCCATAGGTCATCTGTTTGATGGGAACACTTGGCGCTGAGCTTTCTGGGTGCAATGAAACGCTGGGCATCCTGTACTTGATGCAGTGTTGTTATAGAGCAGTGAGCCTCAGAGCTGGGCTTGCACCTTGCAGCAGCTGCTGGCCAGCTCGGGCAGGGCACAGCTGCTGGGCTGCTGCTCCTCCATCTCTCCATGATACGTGTGTGTACATGTGTGAATGTACATATGTGTTTGAGCAGAGAGTACCTCTCACGTGGATGTCACAGGGACAGTGAAGATGGAAACCCAGCCAATGGAAACTCTGGAAATACAAAGCATTTAGCTTTTTTTTTCCCCCCCGCAGTGTAGAAAAACCCACTCCTGTCTCACCCTCACCTGTGAAGCAAAGGGCTTCTAGAGTCCCTGCTGGTTCTGACATTCCAGAGGAGGATGACCCTTGCCTCTCCTATACTCACAGCTCCTTCAGTGCCCTGGCCCCTGCTGCCAGTGCATCCAGCAGGGGCTGGATGACATTTTCCATTTCCTGCCTCTGCATTATCTGTCTGGTCTCTTCTGTTGCTCTCTGTCCCAGCTGCTATTGTTCTTCCTTTTCCTGAGCTCTCCAGGGCTAGGACCTCACAGGCCTTTCTGAAGGTGGGAGGGGATGCCCTCAAGGTACTTAAGAGGTACTTAAGATCAGGTACTTAAGAGCCGAGACTTTTGGAACATCTTTATGCATTTGTGAACATTCTTAGGTGTGGCTAAGAGAGAGGACTGCCTAATATTGAAGAGCCTTATTGAGGTCATTATATCCAAGGGCTGATGTCAGATACAAAATGCATGTCACTCTCTGAGGTAGAGGACCCCAGGGGGCATCACACCCCTGGAGAGAAGATTGTCAATGGCCAATGATGGATTAGCATTCTAAACTATCTCAAGGGCAAATGTAACCCTTCACTCCTCCTGCCGTGCTTCCTCCCTTCCTTCTTCCTCCTCTTCTCCACACATCTTTGAACCCACTGATGGAAATCTTAAAGTATGATCCAAACTCTGAGGGTGTTTGAATTTTATTAGGGAAACTTGGAAAGGATTTTATCTGAAAGAAGAAAGAGAAAGGAGAAGGGAGGATGGAAGAAAGAAAGGAGGAAAGAAGGGGAGGAGAGGAGGGAGGGAGAGAGGGAATAAGTTTGGGGACCTTCTTTCCTCCTCTGTCATTTTCCCAATGAAGAAGTAAATTCATGAATACTAACAATTGCCTGTGCATTGACGTGTTGATTTTATAATTATGGTCTTGATCCCCTAAAGACCTTGAAGATTACATTACAATGGGGAGCTTGTAGTTGGAAGAGGTTAAGTGACTGGACCAAGGTTCCACAGCAGAAAGAGCAGACAGGACCAGAACTCAGTCCCCTCACCACCCAGTCAGTCCTGTGCTCTAGGCATTTTCCCACACTGCTTCCCAGAAACTGCAGGGGCAGGTCATCAGCCTGGACCTGACATGATATCACCCTGGCATCATTTCCTGAGGTGGAAGTGAGGATGCCTCTGACCCAGGGCAGCCCTGACTGGCCTGTTCCACCCACAGGCATTGATTATCGCGTGAAGACAGTGAATGTGGACGACTCCCAGGTGGCCCTGCAGCTGTGGGACACAGCAGGGCAAGAGAGGTGAGGAGCTGCCTCTGGAGGCTTGGGCTGCTGGGAAGGCTGTGCACCCTGACCCCTGGCCTCCTGTGGCAGGTATCGCTGCATCACCCAGCAGTTCTTCCGGAAGGTGGACGGCGTCATCATCATGTACGATCTCACGGTCAAGCAGTCGTTCCTGTCGGTCCGGCAGTGGCTGAGCAGCGTGGAGGTAACGATGGCCACCTCCTAGGGACCCTCCTACTTGCTATTACTTCTTCTTTCTTCCCTGCCCAATCCCTCCTGGCCCTCTGTGCTTTCACATCCCGATTCGGAATTCACCTGCCCAGGAACAAACCGTGTCAGGCAATTACTCACCTGGTCATCCAGGTTCCCAGGGCCACACTAGTGAGTCAGAAGCCAACAAGGCAGACACAGTTCCCACTCTCAGGGAGAGAGGGGACACACACGAGAAATACTGATTATACCAGTGCTCCAGTTTGAATGTTCCCACCAAAACTCATGGTGAAATTTACCCCTATTGTGAGTCCAGACAACTGTGTACCGAGTACAGGGACTTACTTAATCCACCTGTGGTATTAGAAGTGGGATTGTTGGGTTACAAGAGGCCCTAAGGTTGCTGCCCTAATCCATTGGGACTGTGGCTTTATAAGAAGTAGAGAAGAAACCTGAGCAAGGGTACCTGTCTCACCATGTGTCTCTTGTGGGGCCTTGGGACCTATCAGTGATGAGGACCTCCCAGACATAGGAACTGTGTTCCTTGCATTCTGGATTACCTGATGTTGAGTTTCCCAGCCTTCAGAGCCATAAGCTAGATAAGCTTTATTCTTTACAAATGCCTCAGTCTGTGGTGTTCAGTTATCGCAACACAGACACAGAGTGAGACAGCCAGTAATCGCGTCCTTACAATTGCTGAGCGCTAGAGTAAGGGGGATTTTTCTGGTGGAGGGGCACAGAAGAAGGTTCCCCTGAGGAATCAGTGTTTAAGTTGAGTCACAGATGAGTTCTTCCCTTATTCTTTTTTTAATAAAATTTATTTTTTTATTTGTTCTTTTTAGTTACACATGACAGTATAATGTGTTTTGACATATCATCCATACATGGAGTATAACTTCCATTCTTGTGCTTGTATATGATGTGGATTCACTGGTGGTGTGTTCATATATGAATGTAGGAAAGTTATGTCTGATTCATTCTAGAGTCTTTCTTCCCTCTTTCACCATCTCTCTCCCACCCCCTAAGTCTTTATGGCTCTACAGCTACACCCTGTCCAAGAGCCACTCCATTCAGTGTTCAGGGGCCTCTGTCACCACCCTTCCCACAGAGGAGCATGATCAATGGCACAAGGGTTCCAAGCTTCCCCCACAGCCAGAGACCTGCTAGGGCTCTGAAGCCACTGTGTTCCTTGCATTCTGGATTACCTGCAAGATCTACCTTCTTGATTCATAGTGGCTATATATTGCCTTGTAAGTGCAAAGCACTTCCTGTTCAATGGCAGGTTCTTCCTATAATTCTTTCATGCATGTTCTCAAGGCCAAGGGTGGTGTGGATACACCACTTAACACTTTCACAAATTACTCAGGTAGCATGTACTAATCATTCCAGTAACAGGATCCATCATTTGTTCGTGCATTTGTCAAAACACCACCAGGTTCTTCTCTACGGACCAAGAATTAAAGCAGTAAATAAAAGAGGCAGAGCTCCTGCCCTCATGAGGGTGTGTTCAGCCTCCTGCTCCAAGCTCATGAGGCCTGAGTAGCCCTGTCACATACTTGTCACTGTGGTAAATCCCATGCTCCCCATCTGAATCCCCTGCCAGACCCTGTGCCTCCTGAGAACTGGAGCTGCATGATTGTAACTGGATGCTTGGTGTGGGGCCCCAAGTAATTGGGGGAAGAATGAATGGATAGATGCTCTTTTGTCGTAAAGACACGACACTGGACTTACTGATTTCTTCATCCCTTTTTGCACTGAGATCTATTATTTCTCCCATTTATATCTGTTTTTTGTGTGATTTTGAAGGGCTGAGCCACTCTCTTCTGCTATTAATCTGCACCCTTCCCATTACCAAGAAAAAAAAGGAACAGAATGGAAGCCAGATTCAAGGGTTTCTCAGAAATTTTCTTAATACAAACCAGTTCTCAAGCAATGACTGTGCATAAAACATAAATGAGGAGCCAGGCATGGTGGCACACACCTATAATCCTAGCAGTTCAGGAGGCTGAAGCAGGAGGATTGAGAGTTCAAAGCCAGCCTCAGCAACTTAGTGAGGGCCTAGGCAACTCAGCAAGACCTGTCTCTAAATAAAATATTTTAAAAAGGGCTGGGGATGTGGCTCAGTTGTAACGTGCCCCTGGGTTCAATCCCTGGTACTCCCCCCCACCCCACAAAAAAATATAAACACAAATGAGAAAATGTAAGTTCTGAAATATAGTGGATCATCTATACTCCAAGCTAATAATGGCCTATAGAAAATGGATTCCTTTTCCTTCTCCTCTTTCTCTTCATTGTTGTGGGTGGCACCAGGAGAACCATCAGGGGCTACCTAACCCAGCAGTCTTCAGACTTGTGTTCTCAGAGCCCTGGAGTCTGAGACTGATATTCCCTGGAACGTCAATGGTCACAGTTCTGGTCCCCTCATCTCCCTTTCTTTCCTTTTCTTTTCTTTTTTTTTTAAAGAGAGTGAGAGAGAGAGAGAGAGAGAGAGAGAGAGAGAGAATTTTTTAATATTTATTTTTTAGTTTTCAGCGGACACAACATCTTTGTTTGTATGTGGTGCTGAGGATTGAACCTGGGCCGCACGCATGCCAGGCTAGCGCGCTACCACTAGAGCCACATCCCCAGCCCCCCTCATCTCCCTTTCTCAGTCAGCTCTGCTCAGTTTCTTTCAGCTTTGTATACTTACTGGAAGTCTAGGTATAGTTTTATTAGACAAAAGTGTTTCCCCTTGAAAATCACCAATTTAGTTCAATCTGGTATACCTGTCTCATTCTAGAATGAAGAAATGGAGGCTATAACTTCTTCAAAGCCACCTGTTCTTTTTCCAGAGGCATTTAATTCTGTCCTAATATCTATGATCTATACTAGAATGGACAGAGACAGTCCAGGATTAATAAGAGTGGATGGACACACATTTATGGAACTGTGATCTCTGCCATCATTAAGGGTATAGTTTCCAGGGATCTTGAGAACTGGGATCTAGTGAGAGAAGGAACAGCAGGTTGAATTCAGTGGTGGAGGTAGAGGTGAAGAAATCTCAGAAGGCCATCTTTGCAGCTTGGGGCTCAATCATTGTCCAGACAACTGTGTACTGAGCACAGGGTGTTTAGTGATTCCTTGGTGGGAAGGGGCTGACAGCGCCATCAGCACATGCCTGGTAAGATGTCCCACAGAAGCCTTGGAGCAACCCTGGGCTTCAATGCCAGGATGAGGTGATAAATCCATACTTGGATAACTCAGGATTATCTAACTGTGCTTAATTTGTAGTCAGAGTTTTTCATTTAAAAAATTTTTAGCAGGAAGTATAATTAAACTCTAAACCATGATTCGAACTCCAGATAAACATCAGGATCACCTTTAGACTTTTAAACAATGCTGATCCTAAGAACTTCTTTTCCAAACAGATGATCAGGGGCCTGAAAATTTATATATGTATGTTTATATACATACATACAGTTCCCCTGGTGGTTTTGATTCTCAGTCATCCCAGCCCAAACAAGTGCTTCTCAAACTCACCTATACCTGGGGCTCTTGCTAAATTGCAGGCTATGTCAGTAAAACTAGACTGGGGGCTGAGATCTTATATTTCTAAAAAAATTCCACGGAAGGACAATGCTGCAAGTCCATGGACGACTCTTTGAGTAACAATGCTCTGAATCCTTTTCAAAGACATTTGTGACCCCTCAACAAGAATTTGCTGAACATAAACTGTGTGCCCAGCATTCACTTGGCATTCCAGAGATTTCCATATGATAGACCAGGAAATGCATTCAGTTCAGTGGCACAGGGTTTCAGCAGCAAGCACAGAAGGCTGTGTCAAGTGGCAGAGTGTGTGTTGAAGGTGTGGAACAGAGGCATCATAATGCAATTATTCTCCTGATTCTTGAAAAGCTAAGTCATTCTGCCTTGGCAACCAGCAATCAGAGATGTCAGGTGATAGATTAAAACTTGACACCTAATTTGATCTAAGGAGAACTGAAAATAATAAGTACTTTATATTTGTGGAGCACCTTATTTTTCCAAATAGCTCCAAGCACTTTACTAACTCCCTCGCCTGGGGAAGGAGGATGGAGGGGGAGCGTTAATAACAGTCTTCATGGTTCTCAAGCCTTATTATTAACTGAATGGTGGCCAGCTGTTCGCAGTGCCCCTTCCTCCCTCAACCTGAAAAGCAGTACAAGAAAAGAGGCCTTAAATTTCCATACATGCCATAGATGGGCAGCAAGAGTTTGTGTGGGGGAGGCAATGGGAAAGGAAGTTCTTACCATCCCAGCTCAGCCACTTCCTGGCCATGAAACTCTGGTCAGTCATTCAGGGGAGAGTAGATCAATGATCTGAAATGTTCCTACTGACCCCAAATTCTACAGTAGATGGCACTGGACTCTTTTAAGGAGGCTAGGATAGAGTGGGAGTATGTATGAATGAGAGGACCCTTAATCCTTTCTGCTAAAGGGAATCAAAATCCTCATGCAAGAAAATACCTACCGTGTTAGTCTATTTTTCATTACTATGACAAAATATCTGAGGAAAGCTACTCATAAAGAAGTTTACTTAGCTCACAGTTCAAAAGGATCAAGGGAATGTCACCTGCACTGACTTAGCTCTGGTGAGGACCCTCTTGGCCACATCACATCATGGCAGATCACATCATGGCAGGAGCAAGTGTGGGAGGAATAAATTGTATCACCAAACAGGAAGCCAAAAAGAAGAGGAGGGGTCAGGCGTACTGTCTTTATGACAACCTTCTCAGGAGAACTAAGCAAGATCCCACAAGAACTACCTTCATCTTTTCCAAGGACACAGCCTCAATGACCTTATGCCCTCCCACTGGTCTCCACCTCTCAAAGGTCCCACCTCCCAACTTCATACTGAGAACCAAGACACCTTCCTTTCTGGATGAGATGGGAGGCTTCTGCTCTCAGGACTGTTCTACCACACCCCTCCCAGTATTCACTCCACCTGGGCAGCTTCCCCTTGCCTTCAGACCCTCTG